CTGCTGTTCCAGCCATCCCTACCTTTGCCACCCCCTTTCCTTCGCTGCCATCATCTAGAAAACAACAAGCTTGCTGTTTTTCTGCTCTTTCAGCAGCCTGCTGTCCCTACCAATTCACTTTGCTGACCACTACCACCTCTGGATCTAATCCTAGGGTGAATTTGTGTTGTTGTTTGTTGCAATTTCAGATTTATGTTTGTTTGTTGTAATTTTCTATTGGAAGTTGGTAATAATATTTATTTTTTCATTGTTATTTGGTTTAATAAGTTGGTTTGATCAAATTATTAAAAGGTGTGAACGATTTAGATATCTTGGGTCCGTTGTCCAAAGCGATGGTGATATAGATGGGGATGTTAATAGTAGAATTCAAGTTGGTTGGTTGAAGTGGAGGAATGCTTCGGGCCTTTTGTGTGATAGAAAAGTACCGCTTAGACTGAAAGGAAAATTTTATAAGATGGTGGTGAGACCTGCAATGCTCTATGGCGTTGAATGTTGGCCTTTAAAAGAGAAGCATAATAATAAGTTAAGTGTTGCCGAGATGAGAATGATTAGGTGGATGAGTGGCTTTACACTTAGAGACAAAATGCGGAATGAATATATTCGTGATAGGGTTGGTGTAGCTCCTGTGACAGACAAAATTAGAGAAAGTCGTCTTAGATGTTTTGGTCATATTAAACGTCGACCATTAGATGATCCGATTAGGAGAGTAGATGTTTTAAATTCGACTTGTGTTAAGAAAGGCAGAGGTAGACCTAGGAAGACTTGGGCTTATTGTATTAAAAATGATCTTAATTTATTAGAACTAAATGAAAATATTACAATAAATAGGAAGCGATGGAGAAAAATGATTCATGTAATCGATCCCATGTACTGGAATTAAGGCTTTGTTGTTGTAGTAAAAATTGCTGCTTATGCTAGAGAGCCTCGAAATCGCTGGCGGTCGCTTTGAGTGAGCGAAGGAAGAAGTGGCTGCGGCTTCTTCTTGGAACTGGAATCGCTGGTCGGCTCCAGTTTTCTAAACTGAATGCACTCAATGTATTCCTTTGAATCCTATTTCACTGGTTTTCGATTTCCAATCACTTCTTTCACCATTTTTCTTTTTGAAGCATCAATTTTCTCTTAGCGTTGATGTAGATGGACTCTTCGTCTTCGTCCGCGGAGCAGCGTTACTGCTATTACCCAAAACTTAAGTGGAATCCGCAGGTGGAGGAGTACTTTATCAAGGCATACGGAACTGACCACTTCGCTCGAGTTTCAGAAGCCCTAACGTATGTTTCTTTCATCATATCACTCTTCCCACCGATACATTACGTTTAGCGGATTCGCAGTTTCTTTCCGTTATGCTACAGACTTGCCTTTGGAAGTTGTACCGTGTACATTGCAAGTAAAATCAAGTTGAACGAGTAGAAGTTTGAGAATTTTAAGAATGCGAAGGCCAAACGTGTTCGGGTACTGCTGTTATTAAGAAACATAGACTATGGTGACAGTGTTGATACTTTGATGTTTTTTTTGGCTGCATGCGCATGTTTGCTACACTGTCTTTGTTTGGGAATTAAGTAGTCTTTATTGTTTTTTCGAACACCTTTTCTTTTAGTCTTGAAGAAATTCTTCCCAGCAATTCCGCAGGCCCTATTTAGAATGCTAAACAATAAACATGCATATGAAAGCATCCAACTTTTTTTCTATCCGAGGGGTTTAAGCAAAATTGCTCGTTTTATGCTTTTTATGCTATTGATTATTTATTTTGCTCAGGCGTCCATCCTCTTACTCATGCATTCGAGTAAATTTTCTCAAGTCTACAAACGAAGCTGTTATTGAGAAGCTAACGAGACTACTTCAAGATGGATATGTAGATGATTTGGATTGTTTGAGTACAGGAAAGTGGGTATCTGAAGGCAATGCTGCAGATGATGGTTTGAGCAAAGATAATATCGATAGAATGTTTAATTTTTCGCTGGAGGAAACAACAAAGAATGTGGAAAAACCTATGACAATGTTAAAACACCCTACAATTTGTCAATGCCAGTTTCCTGGACTTGATCATGTCTTGTTTGTCAAAGGTTCTGGTCCATATAGCATTCATTATGGCAATCAGTCGGATGAATCAGTGAAGGAAGTAATTGTTAGTCGAAAATGTGCTGAGGCTGTTCTTCGAGGAGCCCAGGTATATTTTGATGCTTTTTAGCCTTTTCATTTATGGTGATTATCCTCGAAGTTCCATTTTCTTCAGCTCACTGTTTATTATATATTTGCGCTCATTGCATTCTGCTTAGTTTTCTTCATTTTTTTAATATTTCATTTGTTCTCATGTTTGTTTGTGTTGGAGTTGAAAGTTGTTAGACTGTACGTACACTGAATGCATGCAACTCAGTAGAAATATATTTTTATGAAATAAAAATGTGTCATTTTAAAATATGACAAACAAAGCAAACGTACAAAAATATTAAGACAACATCAGATTATGCAATCAAATGATAGATTGCTGCCAAATTATATAAATCCAGTACTATGAACTCTCTTTTATGTTTAGATCATCAATAACAATCAAACAAAATTTCATATCATCAACTGATGTAACTGTTTTGAATCTAACACCTTCTTTCGAGTTGAAAGGCCAATTCTTATTGTTCCAAAGTTATTAAAAAAATGTGTGAATTGTCTTTCAACCATTGTTTAGGCACGACACCAAGCTGAACAAATTTCTGAACACACAGATAATATAATTCAACAAGCAATTTCATTAATTCAAAAGAAGTTCCTTCTTCTAGTTTTAATTAGTTTTACAACTAGAGGAAGAAGAACTAAAGTGAAACTTAATCTTCTTGTTGCCCATACTGTGTACCTCATTGAACGCCAAACCCTCAAATTTATTATAATAAATTGGGGTTAGGGTCATGGCTTGTACATAGTGGTTGATCTTATCGTACATTGACTTGTATTCACCTATCTTCATCTTCCAAGGAGATCTCGAACTGATGCTTCTTTTGGTTTACTGTCATTGCACTTTTCTTGTATTTTTCTTTCTCAGAACTGTCTTCCAAGTCAATGCTGATAATTGGATTCTTTCTCTGTTCAATAATTTATTTGTCTCTTTCTCATCTTCAACCTCGTGTTTGAGTTCAAGGAGGTGTCAGCTGACAAAAAAGTGAAGTTTGCTGTCATACAACTCAAGAAGAGTGTCTATTTATGGTGGGAGGATCTGAATAGTGAGAGATAGAGAAAATGTCGGAACAAGATCGTCACGTGGGAGAAGATGAATGAGATGCAGAGGAAGTACCTACCCCTACACTGCCGCCATGACATGCTCTTGATGCTATATCAGTTACATCAGAGGAGTTATCAATGGAACAATACACAATGAATGAGTAGCTTAAGCTGAAATGTGAGTTGACAGAGCCAGATGAGCACATGATAGTCAGGTACTCCCCATTAGCCATGTGGTTCAGCTATAGTCTTATTGATCATTGGGTGATGTTCAGACCTTGGCACTGAAAATGGAGAGACAACAGAAGTAGAGCAGGCGTGCCATGTTAGGTTTTGGAGTTTTGTTAGACCTTGACACTGAAAATGGAGAGACAATAAAAGTAGAGCAGGCATGTCGTGTTAGGTTTTGGAGTTTTGTCATGGGAGTGCCGTCCAAGAGGATGGGGCCACTCCTTGTTACCCATGTCTATATATATTGCTTTGTCGTATTAGGTTTTGGAGTTTTGTCATGTTTTTTTGTTCAGGACTGTCGTCGACGTTTCTGTGTTCCCTTCTAAGGCTGTATCTAAGGGTTGAGTGGTGCTTCAACTGTACCTCGCTCATAAGGTGGTGATTATCCTTTGCTCCACCCTCCCATCTTCCCCATGCCATTCCTCACTGCTGCCACCTGAAATGCAACCCATCTAGCTGTTTCTACAGTTCCAACCATCATTCCTGTGTGTTGCCGCTCGGACTGCGTACCATCTTGCTGTTTTCTTATTGTCCAACCATCTTGCATCATTGCAGCCGCTCATAACTTTCTCCCCTTGCTGTTTTATTGTTCTCCAACACCTCCTTCCTTGCCTTTTCATGCTGTACCTGCCCCTATTCTACCTCTCTACCTTGCCGCCACTAGGGGTGTAAACGAGTTGAGCTTGGGCAAGTCAAGGTTTGACTCGTTTAAAAATTTGATTGTTTGTGTTCAACTCATATTCAAATGAGCTCGTGAACACTCTGTTCGTGTTCGGCTCAAATTAGGCTTTATATGAATAAAAATTAATTCAAATATAAAATTTTTAAATCAATTAAATATTTTAAATTTTGCTTGAAAAAGTATTGCTTGAATAAAGTTTTTAGAAGCAAAATTTTATTATTCTTTTAAAAATTTGAGAGAAATAATGCATTTACTGATATACATCATCAAAGCAAATGAACAAATATTCATAAAAATTGTATTACATCATTAAATTGATAATTCTTAATTTTTGAAATATGAGGAACAAATATAAATTTTCTGTCAAGAGGTATAATTACAAAAATAAAAAAGTTTTGAAGGCTCTATTCACAAAAGAATAAATATTATATAAAAAATGTGTTATTTCATTAAAGTCAATGACAATTAGAAAATGTTTACATTCAAAAGATTTACGTATCACAAAAAAAAAAAAAAATCACAAAAATTACAACACATCAATTTATTGCACATTTACACTACATTTACATCTTCAAAAAAGAAAAAAAGAAAATCTAAAAAATACTCAATTTTTTCTCTTCTTATGCAATGTATACTTTGATGATCTAAAATTGGTCTGTGCGGTTGCACCTGCATAACAAAAAAAAAAAAAGAAAAATAAAAGGAAAAGAAAAAAATACAAAGAAAAGAAAAAAGGAAGCAATGTTCGTTTCCACCTGCGAGGTTGCTGTTTAGTGCCAGATTTTAAGTGGTGTTTCATATAGTTGAAAGCAATTAAAGGTAACCGAGTGGTATCATTATATATAATGAAGAAACGTGTTGATCCGAACAACAAGCTCAATACTTAATGCTTGAATTAAAATAATTGAACTCAACGTAATTGAGCGTTTGCCATTGGTATATATGTAAATTTTATAGTATTCCAACAACCAAATAACTTGAAAGCAGTGAATGAATGGCAAAAAGAGAAGGAGAGTTCATGACTTACTTGAACAGTGATAATGTAAGTCATGATGTTTCGAGTAAATTTTACTAAACCACCAAGGACAAGGTGAAGAGATAAGAAGAGCTCAGAACTTACCTGAATTTAAATCATAATGATTTCATCCTAAAGATAGAAAAAATATTTTCTAGCCTGGTTGAATCAACATGTATCTCTGGAATTCATTATAGCTAAAAATAAAATACATATAAATCCAAAACTCCGAATCAACAAAAGAGAGATACAACCAACGCATACCACTTCCAATGAATCCAACTAGCAAACACCAACCAAACCAGCAAAAAATCACAAGCCCAACAACCCAAAAAAAATTTTCCATTTGAATGATCATAATAATGGTTGCCAGAGCTTAGATGGTATATATTAGTGCATAAGTTAATGATCACAGGGTAGCCGAAAGGAGTGTAGCAGGAAGCAATTAAAGGTAATTGAGTGGTATGTATGCAAATCTTACAGTATATTCCAACAATCAAATGACTTGAAAGCAGTGAATCAATAGCAAAAAGAGAAGGAGACCTCACAACTTATCTAAAAGCAATGATAATTTAAATCATGATGATTCCACTGAGTTTCAAAAAACCACTAAAGAGAAGGAGAAGAGATAAGAAGAGCTCATTACTAACATGAATTTAAATCATGATGAGTCTATCCTAAAGATAGAAAAAATATTGTCTAGTTTGGTTGAATCATCATGCATCTATAATTCATCATTGCTAAAAAATATATATATAAATCCAAAATTCCAAACCAACAAAAAAGAGACGCAACCAACACATGCCACTTCCAATGAATCCAACTAACAAACAACAACCAAACCAACAAAAGATCACAAGCCCAACGACCCAAAAAATATTTTCTATTTGAATGATCATGATAATCGTTGCCAGAGCTTAGATAGTTTGTATTAGTGCATACGTTAATGATCACAGAGTAGCAGAAAGCAATTAAAGGTGATTGAGTGATATGTATGAAAATCTTTCAGTATATTCCAACAGCAAAATGACTTGAAAACAGTGAGTCAATAATAAAAAGAGAAGGAGAGCTCAAAACTTACCTGAAAGCAGTGATAATTTAAATCTTGATGATTCCACTGAGTTTCACAAAACTACCAAAGAGAAGGAGAAGAGATAAGAAGAGCTCATAACTTATCTGAATCCTAATAATAATAAAAAAATATGTTCGTAGCTTCTCTTTTTTAATATCATATACATTCATACAATTATTTTTAATTGTATTTCTGGACACCCTCTCATAATGGGGGTTTGATGATTTCAACAAGATATTGAACCACAAATGCTCAATCGGCATAAATGGGTATTCAGGCACGATCATGATTCTGACAATCATTTCTCTTATTCGATGCTGATCATAGTTTTTTGGGTCATGCGTAAAAGGAATCTCAATATCTGCACTAGTATAATGAGGTAGCAAGTTAAGGCTTTTTTGTCTCTTATCTAATGATCAACATGTTTGTTCTTTCCTTTGATTTTTTTCACAATTTTTGACATGCCTAAGTAGTTGATAGAATAAACATCAATATAACTAGCCTCAACTTAATATTGAAAGAAAGCTTTATTCTTTTCAACAACCTTCATATCATTATCAACTTTTCAAATTTTTGTGTAGGGAAAACAAATAGATGAATTGTTATCCAAGAATTTCTATGTGAACATAAGAAATAGTGAAGACAAAATTTCTAGTGCAGCCAATCTAAACATCTTTCATTAACTTCTAATATCCCCTCCCCCTCCCCCGGCAACCTAAAAACCAAAAATTGCCATAAGCAAGCCCAACATTATCGACCCTAATCAACAACACCAACAACCAATGAACCAAAAGCCAAACTCTGCTCACATGCCCATTAGAAAATTGCTGAACATCTAGAGTGCATGAACCACCAACAACTAGTAGAAATTCTAAGTTCTGTTTCGACAACTAGTAACTGTTGGCCAACATGTTCAAGATCTAATTGATTGGAGGCGGCAATCAAAACAGAACTGATGAGAGAATCTCTGCCAGAATGAGTTAACAATGAACAAGCCTCCAAAGAACAGTGGTTTAGAATTTGAAAGGTTTTATCACGAGTCGAAAGACCAGACTGCTGAAAGATGATAGAGTCGATCCAAATTTGGAGATCAACAATTGTGAAGGAGCACTCCATTGGAAGCTAAACCTTTACGCACAGTCACAAAACTCCTAATGTTGGAATGAAAATGACAACACCAGCTCCAACATGGGTACTGATGCTGGAAGTCCTTATTATCAGCGGCCAAGCATGGTTTATAGCTTTTTCATTTTCCATCTAGGATTCTAAATTATTTCCATCTTTTTTTAGCTTTGTTTCATATTTCACATTATGGTTTGGATAATTTTAGTTACCTTATTCCCATAAATCTTGCCATTCATGCGTAATGCATATCTACACTGAAACATAATGCTCGTTTTATGTTTAATTTATCTCTGGACCTGATAGTGTCTTGATAATTATGACTTTTTGATCTCTAGATATATGTACCGGGGTTATTGGCTTGTAGTTCACATGTTGAGAAGGGAGATATTGTTGCAGTTTCGGTGGCTGTAGAGCAGCGAAGTACTGATGGTAGATGGGGTGTTAATCTGACACGCGGAACTGTTCTACAAGGAACACAGCAAGGTAAACACTATCCTCAGTTCATTATAATTTTTGCTCTAAGAAATGTGAATCATACCGTTTGTACATTGACTACCTTTGATAAGTTGAAATGTTAGGTAACCATTTTTATCTCATGCTTAGACTTGTAGAAATGCAGGCATTTCTCTTTGCCAAAAATTAAATTCAACTGGAAAATTTCTAGAGTGATGAAAAATCATTTAGCTAATGCTGCCATTCTCTCTTTCCTTTTTTTTTAATGATTTTTCGCATGTTCTTTGGTACTGGAAAAATGACAGATCCGCAATACCTCGAAAGAAATGGCATGTACATTGGCCAAGGAATCACAAAGTTTTCTAGGGCGGGTATGTTTCGTGCTTTAGAAGGAATTGGTGTGGAAATGACAGATAGAGTTTACAGGCTTCCTTCATTCCGCAGTATGTTCTTTTGTAATTTTGTTTTATTTTTTGTACAGCTTTAGATGATTGATTTGAAATTTTACTTGGATGCACCATTAATTGATTTTCTGTCTTTATGTAGTGTTCGTAGATCTACCTGAAAGTCAACTCTTTGGGTTATTAAAGTATGGTATCTGGGAATGTGATGTAACATAGTATTGTAATTGTAGGAAGCTATGAAGATCATCATCTTCTAACAAAGAAGTTAGTATTAGTTTTGAACTAATTTTTTACTTTATTTATCTTTCTATATTTAACGTGAAAGGATTAGTAAAAAAAAGAAAGTAGATTAAAAACTCATGCAGATTTCAATGTGAATGATTGAAGATAGGAGGATGATTCTTAATCTTATAATTTCGTTGCAACCGAACTGATCCTTAATCTTGGAATTGTAATTTAAATAATTTTTTTATTTTTGTAATTCATTTATCTTTCATTTATTTTGAGCAATTAGCCCATTTTAAAAACAGCTTAGTGTCTATGACTCAATTTTCTATTTAAAATAACTATAATGTTTTAATTAACTGATAAATTTAATATTAATATTTCTTTGTTAATAATTACCATTTTGGTTATTTACAATCTTTGCTCATAAAAAAATCATCCTTGAAATTTATATGCTATATCTAGTTGAAAAGTTATAGCCTAATTTATTCTTTACAATATATTATCAAGAAAAGGTTTGGGGACTAATTTAGTACTTTTTAAAATCTGGGATTAAAATGAAACCCATATAAATAGTCAATGGACTATTTTGACACTATCTAAATTATATCAAGAGGTGTATCTTGGTGTTTGCTTTTCGTTGATGATTTCCTTCTTGTGGATAAGGATAAACCTGGATAGAGGGTTAAAAAAAAAGAATTATGGAGGTCAACTATAGAGTCTCTAGGCTTTTGTTTGAGTAGATCTAAAATTGAATACATGGAATGTAATTTTAATAATAGATTTAGTGGAAGAGTTTTAATAATGGGTGATCAAGTCATTAAAATGAGTGAACATTTTAGATATCTCAGGTCTATTGTTTTGTTGAATCTGTTCTTTGGATCATGCCTAAAGAATAGAGCATGAACCTGAGATAAGAGAGTGAGAGAGAGAAAGAGAAATCTTGCTCCCTCGGGGTGAATGAGGTTTTCCCGGACTCTTAGACTCATTTTATTTCATAAAAAAAGAGGTTACAAGTGGGGGAATCCAAAAAATCCCCTAATTCAGGTCATAACTCTCCTATTTATAAAAGATATGAAGGACAAAATATAAAAATTGTATTATTAGCCTTGCTTTAAAGAGAGGAGCAAAGGACATTCTAGTTCTCTTATTCTGACTATTGGATTGTGTCGAGATCTGTGCAGATTTTTTTTGAGTATACATATTAAGTTTCACAATTTTCTTGATTCTTGATAGCAACAACTGCAATAAGAACACAAAAATTTATAAATCAAACAAATCATGAATTGCTAATGATACTCCATGTTAGGCGCACTTCGTGTTTGGTTCTGACATCTTTGGCGTCATCCGCTGTAATCGATTAGTCGTTGAATGATCACAGGATGATTCTCCCGCTACCCCTTGCGAAGCTTGTCGTTGCTGAGTGGCGAATCATCTTAAGTGCCGAAGAAAATCACCGTATACCCCTCGTGATGCTTGTCGCTTCCAAGTAGCGAGTCATCTCGAGGGCTGAAGTTGATCGCCATATACCCTTTGTGGGACTTATTGCTGCCAGGTGTCGAGTCATCTCTAGGACCAAAGACGATCGTTGTGTACCCATCGCGGAGCTTGTTGTTGTCGAGTGACGAGTCGTCTCGAAGGCTGAAGTCGATTCTCACATACTCCTGACGGAGCTTGTCGCTGCTGGGTGTGAGTCATTTTGAAGACGAAGACGATCACCGTATAGCTCTGGCAGAGCTTGTCGCTGTCGGGTGATAGTTATCTGGAAGCCCTTATTATCGAACAGACGTCTGTGGCATCGTCACCGATTGCGGGTTTGAGTTCCCTAAGTGTCAGGTGACTTCCAGAATGCCTGAATTCCTCGAACTCCTTGACCTGGCCCTTCACATTACAACAACAACAACAACAACAACAAAGCCTTAACCCCACTACGTAGGGTCGGCTACATGAATCCTTTTTCTCCATTGCGTCCTATTTAGTGACATATTTTCATTTAGTTCTGAAATACCAAAAGTTATAATAGATATGCTTAATAGAGTAAGCTTTGAAGAAAAAAAAACATGATTATGCACAGGAAAAACAACAACCTACTTGGGGTAAAAGACCTCTATAGATATAGTCAAACTTCTGTGCATAAAAAGTGACTATTGTATTTATTTAAAATCTTAAAGAAAACTTTCATTTGGAAATCATATACATATTTAGTTATAAAATCTTTTGTAAAACTAGTGATGTGGCCGGGCGACGAGGCCGATGGACGACAGAGTGGTTGGTCGATAAATAAAATAACAAACTTTTGGGGTTAGATTTATAAAAACAATGAACTGGATGATATGATCATAATTACCCCCTTTAAAATTGTATATAATTTTATATAGTTATTGATTTATAAGATTTGAGTAGTATGTACATAAATCTTTCTTAGATTTAGGGTGCGTTTGAGGCGACTACTGCTTTTTCAAGAAGCTGTGCTGTTTGGGAGATCTGCTAATAAAGGAGCAGTGTCTGCTTGGGAGATCTGTTGTGCTGTTGTTGTTTCTGCTGAGAAAGACTGTTTTACCCCCATATATGTAATATATTGAAAGAAGTGCAGTTTTTAAAAATATTCAGAATTAAATAACAGAAAGAGTTAGTACTGTTAAAAAACATACAGTCTAGTCCAAAATAATATAATATATTAAAAAAATAGCTATATGAAGTAAATGACTACAATAACAAGAACAATGATGGTAATCAACAAGCCTAGAATGGTGTTTGACTTAAAATCCTGATGATAAAGTCTTCGGGACAATCTTCTCTCCATCTTGCATCTCTCCTCGTCTGATCATGGTCTGGAGATACCTCGTCAGTGCCATCAACCCACTGGAGGTAGTCGCAATCTGCAGGAGTCCTATTTCTGGGACAAGAATAAAATCTTCTCCCTTAGCTGCCTTCCCACCTGGACTGCTACTGAACACACCTGTCGCTATAATAACAGTTGCTTAATGATCTTGAGCTCATATTTCTAGATATTATATTACAATGTTGTTCTAATTAAAAAAAATTAAGTTGATACAACATTTTAGAAATTAAAAAAAATATAAGCAATTTTAAATTAAGAATTAAACTTTATCGGTTCAAAAAAAAAAAGGTACAACACAATTTGATATATATATTTTGAAAAAATACAATTAGAGAAATTCATGAAGATAAAATATGAATTATCAACTACAAATAACTAGGTGATAGTACTTAAGTAAGGTCGTTGTATTCACCAAAGCATCAGTAATCATATCTCTCAATTGTAACGTCTACTCGACACATTCTCCTTCAGAATTGTTATACTTGTTAGTCCTATATTCCTCTTCTTGCCTTGAAGGTCAGTTAGCTTCTTCAGACATGTAGGTAGGATCATCGAAGACCCTGAAATTGATATCATCTCGGGATGGATGCTCCGCATAAAATTATGGAGCTCAATTGTTGCAACAACTGTCTTGACCTGTTTTTTGAAAGAATATGTAAGCATATATTGAAGTATGACCCACTTCTTCTTCCATACACTAAATTTTCGCCTGATAACACTGCGTAAAGACGATTATCTTTTGTTGAACAGCTCATTCCTGCCTCTAATTATTTGGCTCTTGCGCTCAAAGTCAGGGAGGTGATATCTCGTGTTGGGAATTGCTTTAAAAAATGTCGTTGCAGTGGATATCCTGAATCGACTAGATAATACTTTCCGGAATAACAATAACATTACTAGATTAGTTCAAACAAAAAAAATAATAGTGATGGATTAGTTAAAGGCACCAATCTTGGTGAGGCATTGAGAATTTTTATTCGGGCTGCCGGGTTGCAAATTTAAATATTCTGTTATCGTGTGCAGTCTCTTCCTAGCCAGTCATCATAAATGTGAAACACATTTTGAAATCACATACTACTAATATGTTCTGTGTAGCAGCTCCACACCTACTGATATTATTTATTTTTTCCTCATTTCCCATGCTTGCGTCAACATGTGTTCCATCAATTGCTTCTATGCAGTCCTTAACTTTACTTTAATTACTTGAAGAAGGAATAAATAGTGAGATTAATACCTTGAAAAATGACATGTACATCTGATAGCTATGAATTTCCCGAGGTGTTTGAGCAAAAGATCGGTCTAATGGTTTGACGATGTCCATAGCAATTTTAATTAGAGTTAATCCCATTATGGAAACACCCGATCGCCTCTATAGAGTGCTGGAAATGCTGAGAACCTGCACGAATGGACTTATTGTGCGACATAATGAAGAACGTGATAGCTAGAACTTCTCGGGACGTAAATCGCGAAGGTCTATGCAAACAATATTTGGATTGTAATTCATCTAATAAATCATAGAAAGTAGCTTTTGACATCCAGAACATGCTGTGAATCCTGCTTGGATGAGCTTCCATTAGTTCACCAACCCATTTGCCTCCCACAAATGACGTGAGATACAAGTTGTCTTACAAACTGTGTTGGTAATAATTGTATTTTGCTCAACTATGTCTATAATCTCCTCGTTTGGTGGCTCTATTTGTCTGAAAGAATAATGTTAAGTTTATTTTAAAAGAATATGTTATTCTCAGTGCAGCTAAATGCTCAAAATGCACTCAATGAAAGTTTTAAAACTAAAAAAATCCATAAATAATCAAACGTCAGAAATAGTACACACAAATCATAGTTTACAACAGAAATGTCAAACACTACAATTAGTCACCCTGCCGTAGTAACAAAAAAAAATGTGCATGACATTTAACTAGTCAAGATGTCTAAAAAATAACATAGATAAGGAATCTTCTGTTCACGAAGCAGG